CATATTGCGAAAATATCACTGTTAATGCGGATTATTGCAAGACGATCGTTTCTAACTGCGTAGAGAAAGGTATTCAACATATTTTTAAAAATATAGTTTATTTGTAATAAAATATCTTAAAATTATATAAAATTTTGAATCAAAATAAAATAATTTTTTGTTATTTTTTTTTTAATTATAGCGAATCTATTAGACTCAACATCTAACGTCCAAAAAAGCCTAGCTGTAGTAAAATGTAACTTAGACAGCGGTTTAGTGGATTTGATTCCAAAACCAGAAGGAGAAAACGTATAAAGAAATATTTGTCAAAAGTATCAGTGCAACTATATTGATCATTTTTATTTTATCGCAATATTCTATATGTATAAAATAATTATCTATTTCCTATGTAATTCTATATAGTTATCAGTGTTAAATTAGAACCAATGTATTGTTCTAACAATAAAATATTGTGCATATAATAGTGTCTACTTTTTTCAGAGCATTTTCCTAAAATCTTACTTTTGATATTAAGCATAAGTAGATAACATTATTCTTAATTAGTTATTGGTAAAATAAATAAAATCTGTTCAAGTTAAATTTTTTATGAACACTAACCAACCTAATTATATGTAAATTACTTTGAACATATTAAAATATATAAAGTCTCTCTATGCTTTCTCTTTATATTGTATATTTTTACCTCACATGTATTTTGCAATTGTACATATCGTGTAATATTGAAATTATGATGTAGTTGAAGTTCAGAGCAAAATTCTCTTGGAGCAAAATTTTCTTGGAGCAAAAATTAAAAATTTGCTCTAATTAAAAAGAATTATAAAAAAAAATATATTTATATATAAAATAATAAAATTATAAAACAAAACAATTAATTTTTAAAATGTATATATAAGCAAACAACAAAAAATAAAAAGGTGCGGTTTAGTTGCGCGTGTATACTTGGCGAGACACTACCGTCTCTAGATTTTTAAATAATATTGCAAAAGGTAGTTAATATTTAAAAATAAATATATTAATAAAAATATATTATGTACGTCTCTATAATTTAATATAAGATTAAAGTGTACAGAATTATTATTCTCGTCCGTTTTCGTGAAAATGTAAACAATGCTGTGTCAGCGATAGTCTAACGGTTACTAATGAAAGTAAGTGAATATGCAAACAATACATACGTAAGTTTAAACTCGTACTTTTGCCTCTTGCCCAAGAACCGCAGAAGCTTGCTAGAGTGTCGGATTATTGGACGCATCATATATTATTGAAGTGCCGGATTAGATAGATTGCAATACATTAGTTTTAACAGGTCAGTTTCCAGTGTTATTTTGATGTGATAAGATTATGATTCAGATATACTATATTCCGATGTTAACAACTAATCGTCGTGATAACTAACAGTCGTAGTTAAGTATTATAAAGAATTTTATTTGAGTCAGAATAAAACTTCAATATATACGAAAACACATCAGGAATAGAACATTTCTTATTTTAAAAATACAACAAACGTTACAACACAATTTAAATTATATCAAGAAAATATGGGAATATGACATACGCAGTTCTGTAGCGTTGAAATTATTTTTGAAAACTATTGAAGTCAATAATTATTTACTTTTTATGAAACTATACATTTCGATTACTTTATCTATACCTGTGACACATTACATATGTATAATTGATATTATAAAAATTTCAAGGTGATATCATAATTTCATTTTCTGTCACTTTGACATTACAGATTTTTTTTAAATCAAATGAGAAACTCTTTGTACATATATTCTGTTATCCAATATCAATATTTTGGTAATCTTTCTCATATTAATTAGAGAGAAAAATCAATAATTTAGAGACAGAAAAAACATCATTTAGAGAGAAAATCTGGCAGTGTTATCCTTACATTATAATATTATTGTACAATATAAATGTGAAAAATAATTTATACAAGGTAATCAAATCTTATATTACTACATTAGCCAATCTAACACATTATGTCTTTGTGCATGATCATAAATTAATAAGATTACTTAAACATTTATTTCCAAATAAATTGCTGTGATTATTCTTATTTTGTTTTCCACTTTTTTATACACATATAAATTGCAATAAAATATTCATTTTGAAATATATTCAGTAATTTTTCAATAACTTTTATTTCACTTTTCATCGATTTTATAGATTACTTTAAATAATATATTTTCATTAGAGCCCACTAAAAATATTATGAAATCGGTGAAAAGTAAAATAAAATGATTGAAAAATTACTAAATATATTTAAAATAATAATATTAATAATTTTCCTTAAAAAATGTGACAAATTTTCAGTATCTTCTTGCATATTTATCGTGTCGCCGTGTCTCCTAATGAAAAACATCTCTGCTATCTCTTTTTTTCTGTAATAATGTTTCTCATTATGTAACACTTCTGGCTCGGACCAATGAGCCAGACGGTGTCTACTTACAACAGATTGGCTTGTGTTTTTTAATATCTGACCGTTGTTCATTAATACGCGTCTCTAATTGTCTCTTGGTTTATCCTATGTAAGAGGGATTGAAATCATTGCAGTTGATCTTATGTACAATTTCAGTTTTCCTAACATTATCGACCACATCCTTTCCTCGTATTATGATGAAATAGAATTTTTTAGGAACAGTGTAAAGGACGTCGAAATTAATGCCAAATACGACAAATTTTCTCGCTGTGGCCTTTGACATAAGAGATTTTAATGTATTTTTTAATGTCGTGGAAATCATCGGTGGCATTATTATAGGTTGTGTTGCTCCGGTTACTAAGTTCTTTTAACCTGTTATTGATATGTTTATTAACTAAACTAAATAGAAAACAATTATTCAGCAGAATGTCTTTAACAATATTGATATTAGATTCATGAAATTATGTATCAGCAAGTAGAACAGTGTGGTCAATGAGATTAATTATGGTGTTAACTTTTTATCTATGTGGATGACTGAATAGATAATTAATATATCGTCTCGAAAAGGTAGGTTTCCGGTATCAATTAGTTATAAGTCTGTCACCGTCTCTGATAATAGTAGTAAAAATAAACAAAATTAATGACGGCTAAACATCATTCAATTTATTTTCAGAATAAATACGTTGCCAAGGTATATATATATAAAGAAAATCTGTCGCAACTTCTACAAATACTTCTTGTAAGGAGAATATTTAAAGAATAAAACAGAATGAAGACTATTTTGCTTGCTACGTGTGTGCTAGTTGTAAGTACAAAGCAGAGATTTATATTTTTTTAAGTACATTTGTTTTAAATATATAGAGTATTAAAAGTAAAATTAAAGTCTGAAAAAATCATAGTCTGAAAAAAATACAGGGTGACACAAAAGTTGCTGAAATTTTTTTGAAAACATTAAGCAGCTACAAATAGGTATACAAATTAAGCATCTTTAAACAGGACTTTAAAATTACAATAAATGCTCAAAATTGTTTGTAATTTTTTTTGCTTAATTTTATTATTAATTTTTTAATAAAGTTGTATGTTTTGTTTAAAGTGTAGATATTTAATTTTAAGGAAATAGAAACCACAGGTAATAAGAATCATCTTACAATAAATTGACTATCGCGTGTTATAAATCCGAACCGGCGTGTGAGTATAACTCTTATGGAACACCGCTCCATCTGCCATTCGAACATTTTATCAAGTTTGTTTTGTTTGCCTAAAAGAAAGTGCACGTCGTTTCCGGTCGCTCCGTTATAATTTTTATCGAATCGATTTTTTCTTAAGCAAAAAGTGATTTTATTTTTCATTAATTAAATTCATTTTTTCTTTATTATTATTGTGATTGTTTACTCTTTACTGACAAAACATTTAAAATTAAAAAATCTTTTCAATAGTTTTTCTTTTAAATCTCTGAAAAGAAACTAGACTAATGGAATAATTCGGACTAACTCCAATGGTATAATTAGACTGGCTCTAATTAGTTTGAATATACAAATTTTAAACAAAATACTGCTTAGCATTGTTTACCTTGTAAAAAGGTAAACAATTTTATTTGCGACTTTTGCATTCGTAAAAATTAATTACGAAATAATAAAAAGAACTTAAATTTAATGATCGATCTTGTCCTAGGTTAACGAAATATTTTTTATCTATTTAATTACTGTTTCCATAAATAAGTACTTTATTGTTACTCACTCTTAAATGTTCCGCATAGGCAATGAATCTCATTACTGATAAGGTGGTTCTTATTGCCCGTTGCCTGGGGTAATAGGAATTTATTATGATTTTTTGAAAATGTTTATTTTTTTGGGTAATTTTATTAGAATTTAAATACTTATGTTATACCAAATTAAAGCATAA